TTTAGTTTGGTAAATCGAATTAAGTGTAGTTTACTTTATAATATAGCATGACCATACCAATATCAGAGACCATCCATCATAACATCATCGTGAACGAGTGCTGGTTGTTGGGACTAGTCTGTTATAATCACTACAACAGATTTAATGTATATTTACTATGTATATTTAATATTTGACTCTAATAAATTAGTGCTCGTTGGTTTGAATTTACACATTTCAACATAAAAATGTAAAGTTAAAACGATTATTCAAAAGAGCAACACGCGATATTCATGTTGATTCTTCTTGTGATGAGACAGCTTTACAAATGAACGGTAGATTAAAAGACTGATAACTGTTACTATACAAAAGTGTTTATATTAAGTTTATTTGAATAAAAGATTTTCTATTCTATTTCATTTATAGTAGGTTTTAAAAGAAAAAAAGGTACCCTTTTTTCTTTTAAAATGAAAGTCTATGCCAATCCTCGTAACATAACATAATATGAATGTATTAGTGTAACATGCATTTCATTATTAAACCATTTTCATCACATTACAAATTATGTTAATATTTAAACTGCCATTCATTTGTGAATTCATTTGTGATTTTATTATGTTGTTAATATTTTATTAATCCTTGCGTGAAATCATAACAAATAAACAAACTCACTTGTGCATTTATAATGTTGTCATTCTTTATTGTACATACAGTGGGCATAGCAGACATGTTATTATGCTAACAATAGGGATAGAGAGTTATCTTTCAGCAAACCCTATTCTATTTTTAGTATTCTTATTATGATTATTTATTTGAGTGCGGCAATATTTGGATACGATAAACATTCATGTCTGTTGTAAATGTTAATATTTGTAATAAATATTTTTGGTGACACCGTAAAAGAAGAAATCTTTTAAAAATATTTATATACATAAAAATATTTTCTTTCTTTCTTTCAAGTAAGTATAGCAATGAATTATTTATATTTATTTAGTGTAAAATGTATACAATACAGTAAATTTATTTGAATTACATGCAATATTTTCGTCGGCACAGAAATAATCGTTACATTAGGAATGTAGCTATTTATAGAGCTTCATTTATTAATTTTAGAATGTTATAAATATTCTCAGAATATTATTTATAAATAGATAATAATGTACTCGTAGATGTTGATTTTATCTTTGATGGACGAACGTTACTGGATGTTGGAAAATACGGAAAGCTTATGGCGGAAATCCCTCTCCTTATAGGAAGATCAATATGCTTACTCTGCTTTGGTGATATAAATTTTCTTTAAATTTACAGATGTTTGTATTTGTTACAAGTTCTTTTTATTAATAAATAAAAATAAATTTATTAAGTTATAAATAACAAGTAAACAAATAAAATTATTAATAGTAATTAATGTTAGACAGTAATAATAATTGTAAGATAGAATAATTACGTACAATATACTTAGATATATATAGGAGACTATCCAGGAACCGATCTAGTTTGTTAGCCCATAATGCAATTAAATATATCTCAATTTACGTATATATAGATATTTACTAAAATATAAACAAATGTATTAGTTGGAGAAAGGTACACGAGATATCATAAAAAGCAATGCAATTTTTATATGGATTCAAAATAAATTAAACCCACTCAGAAAAGCATATTCAGACTAATAACACAAAAAATTTGGTAGTTATTTCGGCTTAAAGTACCAAGAGAACAGGGATTTATAGGAGATATCCTTATCACGAAAAAAACCCATTGCAATATTAGAAAATTAAAATTATTGTTACACTGAAAACAATACATACGTACTCGTAGTTGTTTAATATATAATACTAAGAAAGCAAGAACTTACAAGAGATAACCGTATAATGAAATATTAAGTGTTTTAAATTAAAAAAAATATTTTTATAATATAATGTAAGAAACATGCATGTTTCATTATTGAATACTATCTGTGCCCGCGGTTTTACCAGCGTGAAATTTATAGCCTATATGTTATTCTGATGAAGCTGTATTACTGTAAAGTTTCATCAAAATCCGTTCAGTAGTTTTTGTGTGAAAGAGTAACAAACATCCATCCATACTCACAAAATTTCGCGTTTATAATATCGATAATATATCAAGCCTATAAGCAAGTTCAGATGCCTTATACGAGATAATAATGATATAGTTCAAAGAAACATACAAAACGTGAAACAATAATGAAAGTCCTATAATAATATAATACATTCCGATTTGAATGAAAACTTTACCAATAAACACAGTATTAAGAACATAAAGTAAGTTGAGACAATGATACAGATATAGAAGTTTTGTATTATGTTTTCTAAAAATAGTACAATGATGCTATCTCATTGAAAATTATAGATATGAATTGGAATGGCAAACGGCCCACCTGTTGGTAATCTTCTTGTATGTAAATACTAAGGTAAACTTTGTAAAAATTCGTCCGCATGGATAGGTTCAGTCACCTTTCAACCAATACACGGAATACCTACACGAAAGTTGGATAGCTACTGAAATTGAAACAGAGGTGCCCACGCAGATGACTTTTTACAAAGTTTAATTAGTTCAAATCATACATATATACAAAAACATAGAAGATAACAAAGGTTATAACGGTCCTGTTTCTGTATATAAGGTAAAAAATACAGCCTACATACCGAGCTCTTATTCTCTCATTTACTTAATGCAAATATTACACCGCCTCGCCTTTTTCACAAACCGCTGTAATATATATAAAATTAACAAATTTATTTTTATTTGATGAAAGAAAAATATATACGTAGAATATGTTATAATTTTATTTTACAAAATTACACAATACATACATTGAATAACTAGTTGAGAAACATATTTAATTAAAATCGTTCACTCGTTGAGATAATTATAAAGTCTTTAAAAGATTTTTTATTACAGAATTACGTAACGCAGAAAATTGCCATTTTTAAATATAAATGTTACGTCCAAATACTGTATGAATATATACAAAATATTGAATGCATAAATATATACAAAACTAAAAACTTAATATTTGTTCTATTGTTAAATTTCTTAAGCGCAATAATCTTTGAAATTACTAGTTCAACTTCTATTCGTATTGAATAGTCCTTTTATTGCGAAAGGCTATCAGCTATATAACACCACTCTACAAACCCTAGGAGCTAATCATTTTTTATAAATTGTTACAAAATCTATGAAAATTTAATCCTTTCCTTCTCTTACATGATGTCATACATTTTTAAGTCCACCTATCGTATAAACAATTCCAATATAAGGTAGGTTAATGTAAAACAACTAATATGTCTTAAATATAAGGGATAACAGTTTAGCCTCTGGTACCTTTAAATTTTTAGCTCCATGTAGGTATTGTTTCATTCTTTCCTCTATTTCTGAGTGACAGATTTTGATAAAGGAAGCTACCGACGAGTTCCGATATGCTACGTGACTGAATGACAAAGCTCGGAATGGATTTTATATTCTGCACACGGTTTAGATAAATAATTGAAAAGGCACATAAAATATCTATGCTATAAAAACGTAAGAATCAAAAAGTATTACAGTACGGATTTTTTTACGGAAATTAGGTGGCGAGGTTGTAAGTAATCAAAGGAAGCGAAATCAGACATTTACAGTATGTTTTTCTAACTGAATCTTTTTGTTCCCTTTATTAGCCGTTGAAAAATAAATTTTTTGGTTCAGATATTTTAATTTATAATATTTCTATTACAATTGAATTTCAGTTGCAATTATACAATTAGTTAGATAAGGGGGAAAGGAAGTTAGTAATGTGGGTTGATCTTATTGCTAACAATGTACCATGTCAGGTTGACCTGCACGCGTTTCCCTCTGGATCCCATCGTGATTACTTTTGGAGAATTGGTCACGATGAGCTAACTGACCTGACTCCCTTTATCTTCCGTAAAAAAATCTTTAGATATGTTATTGTGATTCCATTATCTAACTAAATAAATTTATACTAATGAGGTACACTCTGTTATGTTCGGGGTAATCTTCGCTATTATTTGATTTTGATCTGATCTGATTTAACTACGACGAGTCTAATCATCGAACAGTCAACTCTAGGCCTCTAAATTCTCATTGTTTTACGATGGCTCGTTTAGAAGCGAAACACGAGTCGCAATATGGGTGTAAATTCAATAATGGACGGAATTTCGTCACTAATGGGGAAGGTCATGACGTAAAGTAGCTCTGGTCAGGTTTCCGCACTGAATAATTCTAGTCTCACACTTGCTAATGGTAGCAAAATTAATAAAATAATATAAATCCAGTAATTAAGAAATAAATTAAAAGAATAAAGTAATTATATTTTCAGATTTTTCTTTGTAATAATAAATTTATTAAAATATTGTTGGTAGTATATATTTTTGTATAATTACTCATTTTGGTTTATAAAAACAAAGGACAATTCTACTATTAATGTGAAATTAATATTGGCCAACAAGAATCACGAAAATTGGTTTAGAATTTGTGAACACATCGTTTGGCAATTAACGTACAATCAAAATTTTATTTTATATTTATTTCAGTTCACTCAATATCTTTCACTTTTTTAAGGAAAGAAGTAGACTGACACCATTGTAATGGTTTTTACAAAAGACATAGTTTCACTTACACCATATTCGTATATCAATAAATTAGGAAGAACATTAAATTAATACTTCATGAATTAGGAACAGATATTTACCTGAAATTAAAAAAATATATGCTATGCATTCCTACTTCCTAAGGCATGCTTTCCAAATGCCGACATCGAGTATCATAAAATTACTCGGTGATACACTAAATGAATTAATTATCTGTAATCGTACACTGCCTCTATGGTCTAGCTGTTTAGAACACCGCTTTAGTTCCGCACTTGTAACATTAATAAATAAACATAATGTTTGTTGTTAATGCCTATAAGAAAATCTTTATTTAGGACTAGATTACGCTGTGTCAATGGGCAGGTTGTATTATCACTAGATTGATGTTATTCTTGCTATGTTACTTACCTCCACGTCTTCTGAATTAGGCGGGTTCTTGAAGTCGTGGGTGTCATAAAATTTTTGTCTCTCCAAACTAATATTATGCATTATATCCATCTTTACTCCGAATGCCTTCCATTATTAAAGAGTATTATTAAAATATTCTTGTAAACAAGGCGTCTACTCTAAGTTAATTATCAATATCTACATAGGGTTGTCGCCCAACTCACTTTTTTTTACTAAATACATAACTTCTTGTCGTTTAACAGTAGCTCACATGAATTAAATCTGGAACAAAAAAATAATATTATGTAAAAAATGTCGATTAACCAATATGTAAGTGAGTGGCTTATTTTTAGCTTCAAGCATTTTCCTGGACGATCTGGACTAGGTTAGAGTTATGTATATATAATGTATATACGTATACAACATTACTCTAACTTAGTCTAGGTAATAAATCAGCAAAATCGGGCTAAAAATTATTGCCAACCAATAAACCCTGGTGGTTTCGTTTTTGTTAATAACATTAGAATATTTCCGAAGAAAATGTCTGCCTAAGGTAAGTCCTTTGCCAGTCCTTGTGAAAGGAAATCTCGAACCAAAAAGATAAAAATTTGGAATTACTAAAGCGGATCTTCATTATCATTTATACATAGTATAAAATAAAGTCGCTGCCGCTGTCTGCCCATATATGTATGCTTAAATCTTTAAAACTACGCAACAGATTTTGAATCGGTTTATTATACACCCATGCGAAGAAGGCCAAGTTCTAGTATTATATAATATATAAGAATTTCTCTCTTTCAGAATGTTACATAGAGTCAGAATGAGTGTAGTCATACTATCTATTCGAGAAGGTAGTAGGTGTGAGAATAAATAAACTCTAGCTTTTTTATACATAACTGCGAATGTAGACTTGCTACGTAGTAGTAGTATAAATATTAATCACTTATTTACATTAACTTATAAAACTTATTCGTAGTTGAAATAGACGATAACCAAAGTTGACACAGTAATCGAGAGTTCAAGCCGAGTTTGAAATCTAGATTTGCCTAATACAAACTTTTAGCTGAGTTATTACATTTACAAATCAACGTTTGCCTTCAAGTTATTTATTAGAGTACTTTTAATATAAAAGTACCTAACTTTGAAGAGACGAAGTTAAAGTTATACAAGTAATTGTTCCCCAGATCCACATGAAATATAATGTCACAATTGAAATGTGTAACAATTTTCAAGTACTATTGAAACAAAATTGTTTCATATATAAAATAATTTTGGGGAGTATTATGGATTTCTCAGTTGGTGGTTATGGTGATTGTAATAAAACTAGGTAATTGTGGATAAATGAAAATAATTTGCTTCCGTATATCGTGAAAAGATCAATTGCGATATAGTCACTGTTCTTTTCACAATGTTTTTTGAACATTAAAAAGTATATGGCTATAAAAAAGTATTAACAAGGAGGTTTTATTTCCAACAATACGGTTATAGGGTAGAAGGGGTTATTAGTAGGTAGTCCTATTGGTAGCAGTGTATCATGTTAACCTGTCATCATGGGTTTGTGGCATGGCTGTGTAGCCATGCCACAAACCACACACCATGGTAACTATGGTACACAGTAACTGGCTTGTAAGATATACTAAATATTGTCTAGTAAGCACTGCCGTGTATAAATTATGTCACTCCATCTTACAATAGTAATCCATTGTTAGTATATACATAAGTTCAATATTTTTATGTACATTTTATCAGTCCATTATTAGTTCAAAGTTATTATCTTTATTATAAGTCTTCCGCAACAGTATCTACACCTCTCTCTCTTCCTAGTTATGTACCTTTCCTTTGTAATTAAAAAAAGTATTGAAAAACGCACATGGTAAAAGTTTTTGGTAGGCACAGGTCATTGCAGAGAATCGGCCTCAAAGACCCTCTCACTCTATCATGTCCCTAGCAATTACATCCTCCCACACCCAGGGCTAACCTAACATTATCGGGGGATAAAGATTGTTAGTAATCTGAATTAATAACCTCATTGGTAGTAATGTACCATGTCAGGTTAACCACCACGTGGTTCCCCCTGAAATACATCGTGATGAATTGCTAATGAATTTATCACGATGGGCTGACTGACCTGACCTCATGTTTATCTTATAACCCTCCACTGGTGCCCCGCCAGCGTAAACCGTTAGCGCAGGCGGGTGCACCATACCATTATCATCCGTAAAAAAACCTAACATTATCATCATTTTACACCTTACACTAATATACTTACGATGTAAGCTTGTAATCTGCCTAAATCAGTTAAAAAAACTACACTAATATGAAAAAAATAATATTCAGCCACATCCTTTTACTTGCTTGGTTCCCTTTTAATTCTGGATTAGTCTCCAGTCGCGTCCTACGATATCCTTTGAATAAAAAGGAGTGACAATAAATTGTGTACCTAATGCTTTAGCACACAAGAACTCAGAACGTGCTAAGTGGCATTATGACTGAATTGGAGTAAAATATATACGAGTATGTAGTATCTGCTATAGTGAAATATGGTTATCGTTGAAAGTAAACCACCGCCAGCTGGGTCATTTCGCGGTTAGGTTCTTTGCTATTCTAATAACAGACTTATAGTGATAAGTCTGCCCAAAGCAAAATGCGGCCCACTTAGTAAAGTGGGCCGCATTTTGCTATTCGAATTACATAAAATTAATAAAATACCTTTATTTTTGTTACGGGTCAATTATTTTATTCATTTATTCCTATTCGTATCAAAACAGCAATATATTACTACTTAATTGAAGTTAGAAAGTTACGAATCTGTCAAGAAAATGGGTACTAAGTTTGGTAACCAAAGGAAACGTTTTTGTACTAAAACGGGGAATACTTTTACAACCTTGTCTACACAGTTTTCTATGGAATTCTTCATACCAAAATTCTAACCTTGGCCATATACCTTGGCCATGTAATGAATTTCCTAGACAGTGTAAGGAAAAGACGTAGATACAGTATTTTAAATCAAATATCAGCCCTCGGAAAATTATAGATCTAATGACAATATAGTTCTATGACTTTTTTAGCATATTTCTTGTGTACTGCTCTCGTTTTCCACGGTTTCGCCCACAAGATAACAGTAATTTTCCCTTCCTACAGTTACGTTGTTCTGTAGGAAGTATAGTCTATATTTCTCAGAGACAATGGAGCTCTTATTACTGGAATATAAATAACGTATATTAACATCTATTAACCATTAACCCATAATGTGTTGGCCTTTCTAACCTTGATACCGGAAAGACCAAGATCGTATTAGCCGTTTCAATTTGTTTCCATATTTAGTGTATGTTCCGGAGAATTTTGATATAAGTAATTGTAAAAGAATCAACAAGATGTTATTATAAAATGTAATTTAATAGGAATGTAATTTGTTTGCACGATTTAATAACGTCAATAAAAAATCTCTGTGCACATAAGTATTCACACAGAAGAAGCTATATAATGCATCAAATTAATGTAAATAACCCTAAACAACAAACACACTATTATTCAGTTCCAAACTAATTAAACTTGGACTATGAATACTGGACAACTAATAGACGTAAATAAATAGAAATTATTGTTAAATGTTTAATTAACATTAACACTACATATACTTATAGATACAAAAAAATAATAATAATAAAATACAAGAATAAACGTGAGGCTGAAATAATGATCTATCAATCCATACTAACATTATATATTTGAAAATGTGCTTGTATGTTTATTAGTTATCTGACTAAATGGTCGTTTGCCATAGATTTATTTGTACTATGTAATCTGTGATTGTACTATAAGGATGTACATAGTTTATTCTATCTCAAAAAAATATATACAATTAATAAGAAAACCACTCAATCACCAACTAATCACGAAATCTGAAAAACTACTTGAGCCACGAATTTATTCTACTGTATAAAGAACTTAGGTTTCCTAATTGATACAGAGATGGACATGAGCTACTTTTTATACAGATCAATCAATATGTCCCAATCGCGAGTGATTTATTATCAAATACAAAAAGGTGAACTTGGTGTCCATAATAATAATAAAATTTCAGGAGTACCGAAAAAGTCTATGATGGGCACAGATCTATGTATTATTATTATTTAAATTATTTAAGTTATCTATATATTATACATAATACTTTTATGTTATACATAATACTTTTATGTTATACATAATATTTATATTATACATACATTAATTTACAAACCTTACAGGCTGCTATTTTTTGCATATCTGCTCGCGTTTTAACGAACTTTGTTAACCAAAGGTTATCGTAATGAAATTGCTTTCAGCGTTAGGACCTGCTGTTGTTTTTTAGTGCACTAAAGCCTAAATTCCAAAGTCAATAGACTATATTTTTGTATAGAGCGTCGCGGTATAATCCTTAAGAACAACGTAGCGCCATGCTTTATAAAAATAATAGATTTTAAGTAAATGTTTTTTTAAAAACAAATCTATTAACAAATAAACTCTATTATTTTAAGTGAAAAATGCTAACAGTATTGCCTTTTTTAAATAAGATGTCTAGAAAAATGGAAACATTTATTATTTCTAGAGCAACGGATTGAAGTTTCTTAGAAATAAAAAAATAATATTTTTTTTATTAGTGACTAACAAAAAAATAGATAGGTAGGTATTACATAATATTTTATTTTATGTTCTATTGTTTCGTATATTCGAAACAACAAATTATTATTTTATGTGAGAAGTAGACGAATCAGATACTATTACTGAGACAACTATTGTTGGAGCTTCAGCAGCTCCAATAATACAAATGTTGATATGATAAATAGTTTAATTGCTGATTCTTTACAAGATTATAAAATAAGGTGTAACTTTGCCGCCGTACTATGCACAAGTGGCGGTCGGCTCCGTTCGGGTATTGTCGGTGTCCTCCGGACGGACCCCGCTGGTCGCGCTGCTGGTTGATCAGAGTGCCGTGTAATGAACAACTATAATATAGTATAACTATGTATAACTAACTATAACTATAACAAAAGCATTTTATTAATTATACATTATATTATAACATAAAACTTACGTACCCATTTTTACGAAAATTGCGCGGATAGTGGAGT